AGCCCCTTCCTCTGGGCCAGGAGCAGAGGGACAGAAGGTGGCCCAAAAGCCCTTTCCTCTGGGCTGGGAGCAGCGGGAGGGATGGTGACCGGGAAGCCCCTTCCTCTGGACCAGGAGCAGTGGGACTCAGTACCTTGGTTTGGTGGTCTGGTGTCCTCTGAGTCTTTGTAGTGTGGAATCAGGTGGCTGCCTGTCTGCAGCGGGGTGATTCGGTGTCTTCCGCATGACTCAGGACCTCGGTAGGGCGTGGGCAGACCTGCCTGTGTGCAGCGGGCTGATTCCACGTGTTCTGTGTGACTCAGGACCTAGACAGGGCATGGGCAGACCTCCCTGTCTGCAGCGGGGTGATTCAGTGTCTTCCGCGCGACTCAGGACCTCGGTAGGGCATGCACAGACCTGCCTGTCTGCAGTGGGCTGATTTGGCGTGTGTTCCGCGCGACTGAGGACCTCGGTAGGGTGTGGGCACACCTGCCTGTCTGCAGTGAGGTGATTCGGCGTCTTCCGCGTGACCTCGCCTTGGTTTCTCATGTCTTTCCCATATAGATCATTGCTATCTTTCTCTCCTCCCATCCCAGAAGAAGAAATGATCTTTTCAAATCCACTGAACTCAGTAAATTTATGTTCTTTTATTTTTGTGAACATCTAATTGTCTTACTTTCACAACATGGAAGTATATAAAGAAAAAGCACTTCACTGAACTGCCCTGTATTCTATCATATCATATATCCCTAATACTCCACTGTGTCTGATTCCCTGACCCTATGAGCCCACCTTCCCTTGGTAATGCTTTGTTTACTAAATGTTTTTCTAGACCTTTTCCTATTCTTATATAAATCTGTATTTTTAGCATAAGGCAAACATCAGTCTTTAAGTATATATAGCACACACATACACACTTAGAGAACTTTGGGAGGGCTTGTTTTACACAAAAGTGATTGTCATATAATTTTATTCATTTAACAATACATTAGCCATGCCTCCTTTATGGTAAACAGGATCAACCTCATTCTTTGACATTTCTTTGCCTTTTTGTTAGTTATGTTATTAGTTTGCTTTTTGAGACAGAGACTTGCTATGTAGTCCAGGCTGGCCTTGAACCAACTATGCAGCCCAGGCTGTCCTCAAACTCATAGGGATCCTCTTGGCTCAGCCTCCCTAGTGCTGAGATTACAGGTATGCATCACCACACCTGGCTTTCACATTTTTTGTATTGTGAAGCTTTCTTCTTCTATCACTTTCTCCATTTCTCAAGTTTCTCCCATTAAAAAAAAACCCCTCAACTATGTATCCTGTATGAATTCTCCTTTCACAGCCAGCCTTCGTCCTTGAAAAGAGCTTCCCTTCACTGACTCTACTTCCTCACTTCCCACTCACTCTTCAGTCTTGTAGTTTGGCTCTTACCCTGTCACTCTTCTGAACTTGCTTAAAGATCTAAAATAAATGCCAGACCCAAAGGACATTTTTCAATTCCTATCTCAAGGGCTCCTTACTGTTCCTGAGTACTTAACTGCCTCCACCATTCCCAAATGGGGGTGCATTGCCCTCTAGTGGACAGTGGACATCTGGCAATATCCAGAGACATTTTTGGTTGTCACAACTGAGGGGGGGTGTGTGTGTGTGTGTGTGTGTGTGTGTGTGTGTTGGGGCTTCCACTGGCATCTACTGTGCAGAGGTTAGGGATTCTGCTAAACATCCTACAATGTCCTGGACATCCCTCACCAATAAAGAACAATCCAACTCCAAATGTCAAGAGTACTTAGGTTAAATAAATCTTGTCCTAGAGCAAGATAAGAGATAAATTAGGCAAAGATATTCCTGAAAAGTATAGGCTAAAGACCTGGCCCCCAGGATGTGAGGGGGATCTGGCTGCCACATCTGTCACCCCATTAATCGCTAGGGTTGATTCGGCTGATCTGGCTGGCTAGGCGGGTGTCCCCTTCCTCCCTCACCGCTCCATGTGCGTCCCTCCTGAAGCTGCGCGCTCGGTCAAAGAGGACGACCACCCCCGATAGAGGAGGACCGTTTCCTCCGTCAAGGGTATAAGAGTAGCTGCGCTCCCCTACTAGAACCTCCAAACAAACTCTCAAGACCTGGCCCCCAGTACTGATGGTGATTGTCCATGCCATCCCTCAACAGGAGACAACCCAAAGTCACACTTCTGCTGCTACAGAGATGTTCCAGGGCCATTACAGCTTCCTAGTCTCTAGGTCCACAGTCCTAGGCAATGTCCAGGGCTCCCTTGTTTGTGTCGCAATCTGGCCCAGGTGCAACTGCTCCCCATCCTTCCACCCGAGGGTTCAAGGACACATTATACAGCTTGTAGTCATCAGAAGGGGAGAAACAAATCAACCTTCCATCAACCCCCTTATCCCACTTACTCCCACCCACCCCCACCTCTGAAATAGATTTTCTATTGTCATATGTTTCTGTGCCATTTCAGATTTCTGGATTCACAAAGACCTTTGTAGCCCCATTTATCATGGTGGAGGGTTGGAGAAAGAGCATCGTGCTTTGGCCCATGGTCTGCACCAGCAAACTTTCTGGGTACTGTAGTTGCTGACTCACCTCCTGTGCAGTGGTGTGAGTTCCCTGTTCAGATCTGCCTGCCCCTGGTTCTGCCCAGCAGGGACTGGGAAGATTCTCCTCATGAGGCTGTACAGCCTGTAGCTGATGCTGGCATCCTCTGTATACAGCCCTATGGGATTCACTTAGGGATGGCAAATCTCTGCATATTAATTTGAATCCAGCACACACCTAAGGTTAACTCCAGACCTGTAACCCTAAGCCTGTTTTATTTCTTGTGATATGACTCTCCCAACAAGAGCCTCCTATCCAGTTCATCCCTGGGGACTCTTAGGATGCAGGAATACTCATTACTTGCCAAACCATGATGTAACTCCTCAATCATTTCCAACATTTTGATAGTCTGTTGTTTGAAGCTGCTCTCCTAGTGCCAGTTTCTGACTTGGAAATGACCTGGTTACCCACAAGAGGAATGCATTGAAGTAAGTATAGGGAAAGGGGATCTGGGTAAAGTGGATGTTCACATAGCACAGTTGCAGGAAGAGAAAAGTAGTTGAATCACTGCCACTCTCCCCAGCTCTCTGGAGCTACTGTATTAACTCCTCTGTGCTCTGCTATGTCTTTCTGTTCCCTGTACCTTATACTGTACTGGTACCCCCTAAAAGACACCCTCTGTAAAGTACCTAGTTCTGCTTCACCACAGTCAGGGCTATGCCTCAGTGTTTGTGCCTGAGACCTGACCCCAGCTCCAAGCAATCCACTATTCTGCTGTCCAAACCCATTCTGAGTATGGAACTTGCCTCTCTGTTTACATTCTCCAGTTTGAAAATCTGTGTGGCTCAGGATGGGTCAAATGCTCACTTCTGCTCCCATTATCTGAGGCCTGGGGATAGCGGTAAGAGGAGGTTTTACATACATGGCTGTCCAGTCTTCTTCTAGACACTAAGATGGGGAAACACACACACACACACACACACACACACACACACACACACACCAAAGCTATAGCAGCAGTTCTGGGGTGTTGAATGCTAATGCTCTGGAATATAAAAAGGATCATCAAAACATGTCTCTTTCCCACCATCTGTACCTTACCCAATTCCCACCTAATATCACTCCCACTGCCTTGTCCTCATCCTCCCACCCACCCTTCCCCCCCACACTTCACCCTGGCTGCCGCTTCTGAAAATTCACTTCCCGAATTGGGAGTGCGTTTCTTTTTTATTGCACATTGCTGATTTTACTAAGGGCTTTGCAGCCAGATTGCCCTTCTACAGTGGAAGCAATTTTCCCTTTGTGAAAAATTCATGGCCTTACACCAAGGGCAGTTCCAATCCCTCAGCTTGGGAAATGTTGGATGTTTTCTCTGCTGATGGAGTTCTGTGTCTCTCTTGTTTTTCTGATATTCTTGAGCGTCTCCTCCTTGAGCCCCCACATCAGACCACAAGCTAACATCAGAGGCTGAGCAGTGGGGGGACATCTGAGATGGAAAAGGTGCTGTGATCGTGGCTGCCAGTTGGGATGGTGTGGACGTGACTGGGAAACCGGACAAAGGGCTTGAGTAGCTGTATGAGAATGAGGCAGGGAGCTGGACAGGAAGGGGTTCTGGTGAGGTGGTGGCCGTGGCTGTGGCTGTGGCCTTCAGTGTCCCAGAGAGATAAAGCGTGGCTGTTTCCACAGGCCTAATGTCACCCTCCCTCTCTTTGCCAGAGGTGTAATTTTTCTGCTGGACAACTCCAGGAAGCTGCAGGAAGCTTCTACTTAGCTCCTGTGTGGCCTCCTCTGGGGCTGCGCTAATCACATTCCTCTCTTCTTCTTCTTCCTCTTCTTCTCCTCTTCCTCCGCCTATAGCACTAGCTTCAGCCTCTGCCACCTCTTGCTTCTCACCTCCTCCTTGTATCCCCACCTCTGGAACAGTAACCAGGTCTGGCCCCTCCAGAGCCAGCTCTGGGAGAGCCTTCAGCTTCTGAGGAGAGATGAGCAGGACTGAGATACATCCTGGGGGTGGGGGCCCGATGGGGGTACAGGTGTAGGATTGGAGTAGGGGGCAGTGGGGTCATCTTACCTCCTGCACAAGCTTCCACCTCAGCAGGTCCCTCTCTTTCTGCACCTTGGCCAGTTTGGTGTGGGCCAGCTGCAGTTGGAAGGCAGCCTCCTTGCGCTCCATTTCCTGCTGCTCTGTGAGCTGCTTCAGATCTGAGGCCAAGGCATTTGTGGCTGACTTGTGCAGTTTGGCAAAGTCATGCAGCCACTGCACCCTGCACTCCTGTAAGCTCCCCTGCCTGCAAGCTAAGCGCGCGCCCAGGGCCAGGCTGCCCCAAGTACAGGCCTCTTGAGCCTCACTGGGCACCTTGCTGTCCTCTAGGATGGCCCTGATCTTATCTTCTATCTCCTTCCAGGACAGAGACAGATTTTCAAGGTAGAACTCAGGGCCTTTTGGGTGCCTGGCCATCTTCTCATTGATGAAGGCTATCACTGTGCCATGCCGGAATCCACTACCGGGGTCTTCAGGTTTCAAAGGCATGATGGCTAAGGGCTTTAGTGGCTTTGCTGGCCCTGTTGGGATAGATCAACCCATTGTCTCTTCCCTCCCTCTTAGGCCCTCTTCCCCCTCCTCCTTCTCCCCCCTACCCTCCCCAACCCTGATCCTCAGAATGACCCCTTGGCCAGGCTTTACCCCACTTTAGGACATCTTCCAAGGAGGCCTTAACTCTGTAGCCAGGGGGCAAAGGAGGTGTAGGCTGCCCAACCCCCAGTCTACCAGGCCCGGAGAGAGGAGGGTCTTTCTTCCTCCCAGATGACCAAGGAAAGGGAATTGTGAGGTCAACTCTCCAGATTTTTACTCTGGGACTGTTCCAACTTCCAGAGAGTACAGGGGTGGGAGGGAATATGAGAGGCATGTCCTTAACTCTCCTAGGACACAAGGGAATCCACCACATGGGTGAAAGCCCTAGAAGGTGGAAAGAAATGGGAGTGGTCAGAAACAACTCAAAACCAAGAAAATGAAGCTCTTGTAGGCGAGTCAAAAAGTCCCACTCCCACTGTAATGGTTTGTTCCATGCCCTGAGCCCTCCTCCTAGAGATAGAACTGGAAGCAGTTCTAGAACAGGAAGCAGTTCCAACCTTTTCAGTGGTTTCCAGTAGCCCCAAGGGAAGAGGGTATAGCGAACAAACAGCTCCTCCCCACTTGACTGGACACTATGGTCAACCTAAATGATTATAAATGATCATTTCCATCCTCCAAATATGTCCTGAATCTGTTCACTTCCTCCCTCCCATCCTAGTTCACTCTTCATTTCTTCCATCACTGCGGTTCTCTGATATCAAGTCAATCTCCTGTTCTACCCTGTCACCAGAGGAATCCTATCATATCTCTTAATACCTTCAATGACTTTGTGAGGCCTATAGGATGAACCACAGATCATAGGCTGAGTTCTGTTTTGCCACTTATTGTATGACATTTTACTATAACAGAATTTCAGTTTCTACCTACAGGCCTGTGATGAAGACCAAAGGATAAAAGTGTGTGTAAAATTGAAGTAATTTTTTATTATCTCATTTTTATAGAATGCACAAATAAATCATATGCACACATATTTATATGTGCTTCTGTAATCTTAGAGAACTAGAGTGAGGAAGGATATATACCACACTCAACAGTAGTTATCTCTGGGAAGTAGTGGTGTTGAATGGCACATCAGGAAAAAGTTTTTTTTAATTTGTTTTGTTTTTAAAATTTTTATTTTCATTACTGAATGCTTGCAGGACATAATGATTACATTCATCATGGGGAGTTGTTACATGTACTTAATTGTTGGTTTTTTTGTTTCTTATGGTGGTACTGAGGATTGAACACAGGGGGACCCATAGGCTAGGCAAGTGCTCTGCCACTGAGCTACACCCTCAATGCCCCCACCCCTTTTCTGAGATAAGGTCTAGCTAAATTGCCCAGGCTGGGCTTAAACTTCAGTTCCTCTAGCTTAGCTTCTCCAGTAGCTGGAATTAGAAGTGTGTGCTACTGCATCTGTCAGGAAACAGTTTTTAACTGTTTAAGAAATACAACTTGGGCTGGGGATTGAGCTCAGTGGTGCCACCGCCTGGAAGGTCCTGAGTTAGATCCCCGGAACCAAAAAAAAAAAAAACAAAAGAAATACATCTTTCTCCAATTTCATTTGTTATAAAGAATGTATAACTATATGTATGCATGCATCTGAACCTTATATACCAACATTTTAATAGTGTTTATCTCTTTGGGTGATAGGAATATAGAACTTTTGGGGAAAAAGCTTTATTTTAATTTTTGTCTATTGTAAAAATTTTTGGAATAAGCATGTATTGTTTTTTTGCAAATTAAAAGAAAGCTTTTCCCAATAACATATGATCATTGTAAATAATTTTTAAATTCCTGGAAAGCATATATCATCCTATAATCCCACCCACACCCCAACCTGGGACAGAACCACTTTAATTGTTTTATATATATCCTTCCAGTGTTTTAAAATAGGCCATAGCAAATAATTTTCAGTTTCTTATATGAGGCATTTACCCTTTTGTCTCCTTGCCTTTGCACAGGCTGCTTCATGCAAGGGATTCATCTCAGATCTTCCTACTCTCTGCACTCCTGTTCTCCTCATCCACCTAACTCTTACTCAATTTCCATTCCCTATACATAGGCATTTAAGCATTTCTTCCTCATAACTATTTCTTGACACTCCAAACCCACTTTGAGTTGGACTGATTTGTAAAACCTCTCTGTGTCTCCCAAAATACTTTGTGCATACTTCTTGCAGTATTTTTCACACTGTATTATAATCTATAATTTTCTAGGTTTTTTTCCTGCTGTTTGCAATCCTTGAGGGCACAGTGTGTGTCTTAAGTTATCTCTGTGTTTTGAGCACCTGACACAGTAGTAAGCATCCAATAAATTAGTCATTGAATGACTTAAAAGAATTCATTAAATCAGTAAGGTACAAATAAGTACCTTTAAAGAAACTGTATTTTCTTTCTTTTTTAAATGTCTTTTTATTTTTTTTTATTTTTTTATTTTTTCCCCCC